AGTGTGCCTACCTCTGTTTTAATTCAGATTTAGCTTCAGACTTATAATTTTCTTTTTGCAGTTAGTTTATCCATTCCGCGGTGTTCACATTTACACAAAATCCTCTGTGGGATTTCGCAAGCTCCTGGATGTTCTGTTGCTTTGTTCTGGTACTGGTATCAATTCCTCCCTCAAAGACACACTGCCAGGGAATAATTCTGCAACAAGGATTCTTATTCTCTACAGCCTACAGCCTTTCACCAGAGGTGTCGTCCAGTGTAACTTGGCGGAGCTGTTGGTATCTGCAAATAAGGATAATAAACCCATAACTGGGAGTTCTGGTCTGTTCAGCCATCAGTGTTACCACGCTACATGTACAGTATTTCCAGAGCAAAGCACTACAATGAAACTCATGTTCAACCCACATGGCACATTTACCTCTCTGTAGAAACCATGGCTATATACAGGTTTCTCTCTCATATTACTTCCAGTGCTCTCCATTAAGTTTTGTATTCACCTCAAAACAAGACCAAGCAAATTCCTTAATTTCTCATCATCCTTGAACTGCTTTTCCCTGAGCTGCATATTCTGGTACCAGAAAACACAGGCATGGATGAAACCAAGCATCAAAAGAGTGCTATTCATGACTGACAGCAAAGCACAAACCTCTTTTTATTCAAATTGATGTGTTCCCACTGTGTTACCCATATGACAGAATCCTTGTATCTAGTCGGCCTTGTTCACTAAATCCAAACAAAATGGTATTTTCTTACAAACAAACAGAGACCAGCATTTGGATTGCATTATTTGGCTTTAAATGTAGAGGCTGCGTTATGGAATCAGCTCATGACTCAAAATTAAAAAAAAACAACAACCCAACTCATGTGTAGAGAGCTTATGGATAGATTTTTACAAGCACATAGATATGCATGAAAAAATATGGGGATGAAAATTCTTTTTCAACATTATGCCTACTATATGCCACTTCTTAAACACAAATTACATGTAATGCTGGAAATATTTGGAAGGTTTGTTTGGCATCAGCTCACTAAGCCATTCCTACAGCTACCACGCTGCAAAAGACGAGTCTATGGAATAGTGGCATACCAAACTATTGCCTAAGAGAGAAAGATCAGTGTTGTTATCATTAAAATATTCTACACTGCTTTTTATTTCCCAGAGATCTTTATGTCTGTATCTTACAAAGAACTATGTGCATTTGCAAGAAAATGGAAACTAGGTGAGAGGCTATCACTATCTGCTACAATGATTCTTATTTAAAGCAAAATACTGGCTTGCAAACATTTGTGTGATTCACAGTGTCTTGAGAAAAGATCAGGTTAGAAATTGTGTCACTTAATAGTTAACTTTAACACAAAAGTAATTCAGAGGGGTCACTGAATAGATAGAGTTACCAAAACACTGGGTCCTCCCAAGCTACAATGCAAAATGTGAAGGGGCAATTAATGAAAAGCAAAATACTTTCAAATGACATCTTTTCTAAAGGGGGAGGGAAGCATTACATGCATACTTGCTGCCCAAATTTGCATTTATAGCTTTTCCCCTGCTCTGGACAAGCTAAACGCAGAAGGCTTTTCAATTAGTAGCAATTGCATATATCGGTACATCATCACATTTTGATACTTACAGTCCCACCATTTAGCACAACTGCCATCTCAGTTGGCTGATAAACATTGCTTCTAAAAGGAGCACTAGGTCGGCTTCCCAAACTGCCGTTGCGAAATCCTGCTGTCCTTAGCGCTGCGTTTAAAAAGAGAGACTGTTCTTAGGAACACGAGTAATGCTGTGCATCTCCTTTGAAGTCATAAAATATCGTGCTCCCAGTGCAGTTACTGGGAACTGTGCCACTGGTTTTAACTTTTATGCTGCCATATCAGTTTCTGTATTGACTTTGAACAGCAGTTTTTCTTACAGAGTTGGGGATGGGTATCAGAAGAAATAATGTTTTACACAAAAGTAACTGCTTGTGGTGGAATGGGGGCACATTTCTTGAAATTTGCTTGGTTTCATTTCACCAGGAGTTAAATATCCTCAGTCAGTGCACCCGTGATGCATCCTGAATAATGTTTTTTGCCGTGTGCTTTCTGCATCAGTCTGGATACAGTGGGGTTAAGTGAAATGCTATTACACTTTGCTTTCAATCAAACTGGGAAGACAGAGATCCAAAGCACTGCTTGAGCCAGCAAGCATGCTCACAGTCCCCCTGAGCATTACTTCAGCATGACTAGCACGTAAGGACTTTCCAGATGTTTCAGATTATATTTACCCTGAGAAACTAGAAATATGAAGTAAATACTGCTTTCGAATAGCTTAAACGTAGCCATTGACTGAAGCAAAAGAGAAGGCACTGACTGCCTTCCGAATGCAGAACTACATCAGCTTCTCCATGACTTTTAGCACAAGTTTGGATTTCAGGATTCTGAAAGAGACGCCGAGATGTGCTTCTTTCTGTCTAAACCAGGCTGGAGATTGGCACACACATACTGTTTTTTTTTTACTTCAGGGGTAAAGAATGGCTTCTCTGAATTCAGATGTGGCCGAGGAACAGAGCTCGTTTATACGCACTGTGCGAGTGGTTCCAGCGGGCAGTGCCCATCTGTCAGCTGGCAGATAGGTGCTGCATTGGGCACCTGGGGCAAGAATTCCACTTAGATTTAATTCAAATTACAATTCTGTTCTATGCTCTCCAGCTGAAAACGGAGGAACTAAGTTTAGAGGAATTTCAGCATAAACCTTAATGAAGTCCGGATTTAATATCTTTGCAGCGTGTGCAGCAGGATTTAAATGGAGCTTACTGCTATGCGCAGTCCTGCGTGCACTGCTCTCTTCTCTCTGGGAGTAGTGCACAGAGATGATGAGCAGTACTGACTTATCACACGTATTTAAGAATCTAGCCCTGCAAGTGCTTAGCTATTGACTTCACGTATATACAGATCCTCACTTACTCTATACTTAAAATTCATATATGTACAGAATTACATACTTTTTTTTTCTGCTTTTTTTTCCCCAGAACACTAGAATAAAGGCTTTCATCTGCTGTTCACCCACAATTCTGTATCTTTATTTTATATTTAACTATCTCAGGGTCAGTAGTATTCCTTCTTTGCAGTTTGGCTTCTTTCTGTGCCTTAGACACAACTGATTGCACTAGTATTTAGTACTACACAAAGAAAAAAGATCTCCTTATAATGCATGCTATCAGTGAAACATTTACACATTCTAGCATATAATTTGCACGGTAATTTCAATCCTATCCTGAGACAGTACCTTCAAAGCCAGCTGAATTTTTCTTCCTTATTATTGCCAGAAGTCTAAAATTCTCCTAATGTGAGAATCAGAGACAAAGTGCGTGGGCAGAATAAATACTCATTTGGGGATTTGCTTTTCCTAGTGGTTTTACTATTTCTCTTGTATTTTTCCTGGTATTATTAAATGCATCTACTCATCTAGAGGATCAGTAGGTTAAAAAAAAATTGCCAAGGAGGATTGAACAAATGCCAGGTCACAGTCTTTTATGTGTTTTTAATTGTTAGCTTTGTTTGTAGGTGGCTCAGAGGATGACTTTAGTGCTAACAGTTAAACAAAATTTGGCGAGCAGCAGAGCTTCTTAGGCTTGGGTTTCATGACAGCTGCAAAACTCTACATTTCACACCCACGTTCTTCATGCAGAAAGCAAACTGTGTTTGCTTTGCTGAAGCTGCCCCATTACTGTGCATTGCACTTCCAGTTCTCTGGGAGCTCACTCAAGTTGCCCTTTTTCAGGGATTGTAAATACTTTACTGATATTCTTACAAGAGACAGAAATGAAAGTTAGTCTCCTAAGTACTTTGACATGTCTGTTACATGAATGTTAAAATTAGTGTGCTGTTTAAATGACGGTTAAGTAACTGAATGTAGAACCGTTTTGCTTTACTAATGCTTAATGTATTCCTGGAACAGAGCAGATCTGTTGGTAAGTATGACTTGGGGCTACATAGCAGTAAGAAAAACTATGAGAATGCATGCTTATTTGAACCTGTAGTTTAAAGGTTATTCCAAGTCTGAAAATGATAAAATCTTTTTAAAAAGGAAAAAAAAAAAAAAGAAAATTGCTTTATATAGCATGAATTAATGGAAAATACATCCAACCAAGCATGTTTTCTCAGTAAAGCTATTTGTTTAAACAAAGTCAAGGAACTTAGAGTTGATTTCTGCTTACAGAACACTAGAATCATCTAGGTCAGAAAAGACCTTCAAGTCCAACTCTAAATCACATCTTCCAGCTAGTAGAGCTTAAAATCTGAAACACTGTTATTATGCGTAATTGAAGAAAGTACTCTTCCCTTAATTTCTGAACTCTTAATTACATTTCATTAATTAATTTATTACATTTAATTAAATGAATAACAGAAGAGAATATGCCATAATATGTGACTTGAATATTTTTACTTCTATTTAATGCTCTACTGTAAGTTATGTCTCCAAACCCTGTTGTCATGGTAGAGAATCCAATCTTTTCCTCCACGTGCCATGAGGATAGGAATGACATTCATTTATTATGATAAATATTAACAAGAGAATCAAATGCGAAATTACTTTATATTCAGATTAGAACAGAACATCGTAAGGTACGTTACAACAGATACTATAATGATTTTATAGCTGTCAGGCGTCACCTTGTCACTGCAAAACCTGATCACTGACCAATCAGATCTAAATGGCGCTTCCAGTTCTTTTTTAAGTGTAGGCATGAATGAAAATAATGGGGGGTGAAAGATCTGATTTTTTTCTTTAGCTCTGTCTTAGTCAGGAACAACTCCTCTGTAGTCACTGCACTTACGTTACTATGACATTAATTTACTGGGGGATGGAGAGCAGTAAAATAAAATAGAAGTGCATTTATAGTCTACAGTGAAGTTCCTTTGGAATGCTGGTAATGAACAGCTATTCTTTTATCCACATTTTGTTTTACCACTGCCTTGCTGTGTCCTCACAAGACCTTAACTCTCTTCTGTTCAAAGCTTCCATCCAAAGCGGAGACCTTTGAAGTTGCTGCTAAAACACATGGAGGGAAATACCTTCCTGACCCAGCGCTGTCACACGAGTGCTCTTCTCCTTCATCCCTGCTCTACATCCAGCGGAAACATCAAGACCCAAGGAAAATAAAGATAGGTGGAAATGAATAAAGAGGTAAAGTGCCTGGACTATATAACCAAAGCCTTCTTTTGTGGACTGCCATCACAGTGTGGCAACCATTGGCTTGGATACTAAAGCAGTTTGAGTAGTATCCAAATCCTTTCTTCAACCATGAGGCATCAGCAGAACACAGCCTTCTCTCCTCAACACCATCAGGTGATTTCCACCACTGCTCACATAAGCAGTCCTGGATATTTCCTTATATATGTTTAACCTTCAGCAATGCTTTGGATCTCCTGAGCAACCAGTTTGCTGGCCTTTTTGGTACTCATTCCAACATTTTCATTGCAAATTTTCTTTACATGTCATCCCACATTGTTCTGTGTCATCCAGTGGCTGTGACAAGGAAAGCAAGTAAGACCTGTCTGTGCATATTCTGTTAGCACGTTAAAGTCTTCAGAACAAAGACTGTCTTTGAACTTGTCTATATGCCACCTTGCATCTTTTTTTCTAGTGTCACAAGAGGAGACTGAGTCCTCTTTTAATGGTAGTATGATTAATAGTAATTATTCTGTTGCTGAAGAGACTGAGCCTTTGTAGCATGAGGAACTCAATTTATTTCTTGTTTTGTTTTTTTTTTTTAGGAACATATTTCATACAAAATGTTATTAACTAAGAAAGGCAAAAAATATTGTACTGTTTTAAAATAGAAGTTATTTTTCCCACTGTGTTTTTCTTCTGCTTTTGGTGTTGTCTGTTTACATTTGAAATTGTTCTGTTTATCAAAGAAAAAAAAGGCAAATGAAAAAAAAAATTCTAACATTTTAACCAAACATCTGTTTTCTGTATTACATTTTTTTAATGTTCTTCTTCCATTAAGGTGGCTTTAATTAATACATTGAAAGCAAGCTGTATGTAAGGTGTAAAGTATGGCTTTGGTAGTAAGCCTTGTTTTTGACACCCGAAAAATGTCTCACACAGATATTTTCTTTGCTGCTACAAAAATAAAGTTATGAATAGTAAATTCTTACCTGCATTGTGTTCATCCATAGAAAAGGCTTTGTTTTCCATGTAGCTCCGAGGAAGCTGTATTTCTTCCTCAAAAGCAGTTTCGCGCATCCTAGGCTGTGAAGTGTCAAAATAATTGGGAGTGTTTTCCTGCTGCGATGGAAGGATGGTACAGTGGACCTCTGGGATAGCATGAAAAATAACAAACACCCAACCACTGGACACCAGTGCAATAGCAAGAGTGGGATCACTCCATTTGTCTCTTTTCTTTAGTTCAGCATTACCAAAGAGGTACATAGTCATCCAGGCTACCCAAATCAGAATGGAAAAAAACAGTGTTATAATCAGGCATACTCCATTTTTCTTCCACTTCTTAAACTTTCCACAGAGAGTGAAAAGAGAAAACCCCATGGTAAATACCATCAGGAACATAACATAAATCAAAGCCATAGCAAAATCCATTGGTTCGTAGCTGCAAGACATCTTATTGTCTCTGACAACTGTCAGTATTAGCCACTCAGTTGCAATGATGACCTGAACAAGCATCAGGCAGATGGCCACACCAGCAAGATGCCAGCCAGATGGACTCTTCCCATGCCGAACAAGTCTGCGAAGTCTCCAAGCCTGAGCTAGCAAGCACGAGAAGCACAAAGCAAAGATAACTCCCCACAGAAATCTTCGGGTAGAACACACCATTTCATCTTCCTGAATGATGAAAGCAAACGTCAGTCCAAACAGTCCGAGTGTCCCTAACAGAAAGAGGAAGTGCATTCCCAGGGGGCTCTTCTTCTCTTTTTCCTTGATGAAGGGCAGCCTCACCAGCAAAATCAGCATCAGCAGTAATGTTGTCAGCACACCTGCTCCCGCAACCGCCTCCACAACGATTCCCCAGATGGCATCCAGGTCACAGAGGTACACGTACTGAGGGAGGAGGTCCAGCCCGCACCCTCTCGGCGTGCTGGAGTTTTCAGAAGAGCCATAGCTGATGACGAAGAGGACGAAGAAACCAATGGCTGGGTAGGTTTTCATTTTTCTGTCTGAGACAATAAACATTTGGGTGTTTAGCCACAGGTCACTCTGAAGGACTTGACAGCAACTGGAAGTACAGCCTGTTTCAGTAGCTCACATTTACTCTTTTTTTATGCGTGGGATTTTCAGCTGGGATTAGCATAGCCCTACACCCCTTTGCTGCCCTCCCTCAAAGAAACTTTCGCCTGCTTTTTTAACACAGAGAACAAACTGATTAATTTCTGTGTTTGCACTGATTGAAAACATTCCCAAGCACTGTCCCTGCAAATATCCTAAAACACCAGCAGAAATTGTTTACCATGTAAACAATTTAAGTAATATATTATCTACAGTATTTTATTGTTCAGATTCAACTTCTTAAAGAATGTGTGAATTGCACTGGACTGTCAAAATTAGACCATTTCACAGACTTGCCCCTTTTATTGGAATGTAGACAGAGCAAAACCTTTTTTTTTCTAAAGGAAAATATTCTTTTCCTCCTCAGTCAATAGGAAGTTATAATATTCATTCCCTTCAAAGCCCAGGTATTAGGTTGCAATTGCAAATGGGAATGGTTGGCCAGAGAAACCCCCCAAGCTCTGCAACAATGGAGCACACATGCAGTGTCATCAATCAGCTAATCAAAAATGAATGACTCTTTGTGCTTCTTAGCAAATCTAAAGCCATTCAGATGAAACAAACAACAAGAACCAGAGCATCGCTCTCCTCGGGCTGCAGAGTGAACAACTGTAAACTCTCCAGGACCACAGCAACCCCACTTGCCATCGGGACCATTGGGCTGGACAGATTCCAACAAGTCAGGACAAATGCTTACTTTCAGGAAGAACACAGATTAGGTGGCTTTAAAAGATGTATGTAACAGCATTTGCTTTTACCAAGCAAAGCAGGGCATTGTTAAAATGTACTCTTTAAAAGAGCAGTCTGCCGCACACACAGTAAACACAACACATACCAGATAGGAAACCTTTCTGTTGACTTCTGCTTGCGTAGTGCCGTGGGTTTCAGGTGGGTTACGCTCAGTGATGCGAGCTGTGTGCCCAGCTTAACATGCTCAGAATAAAGCCTCTGTGTGTGGGAGAAAAGCACCACGTAAGCAGGCACTAATGTCACTCACACAGCATCCTTACGACACAGAGCAAGAAGTAGAGAAGCAAATTGGACCAAGTCCTAAATGACTGCCTAATGACATTTTATAAATCAGAAGTGCGTCTGAGGGAAACATTAAAAAGTTCTCTTTAAACCATTTTCAACTCTCATTAATGGTGCAGTGTTGTTATATTGGACGTGATCAGTCCAAACTGATGCAAAAACCATTCACATGTACTGCATGAAACAGCAGAGACTATTACAGATGAGAATGATGGGTTTTCTCCTGCGTGTTCTAGTCTTTTAATGACCGAAGCTAAATCCTGAGGATCTCAACCTTTAAGCACATTCATTCATTCTCCTTTCACTGAGTTATGAATCCATGGTAGGTCTCTGTCTTGAGAGAATGACAGAAATTATTCTGTTTCCTATCAGAGGCACCAAGACTACAAACAGGCTAATATAAATGCATAATGGCTTCATGCTTTTCATTCACACAACAGAAAAAGGAGCTTACTACAAAACTTCATCTCTGCAGTGGGAGCTATGATACATAACGTGATCCAGGCTGGACAAATGAGAAGAAAGCAGTGACTGAGCTGCCTGCTCACAGGAGCAAAAGGGTCCTCGCACTGCTGGGAAGGCTAACATGTTCTAATGATGGGATGACATGTCGATGGTGAATAACGGGGTTTTTTTCTACTTAGCTTTAGTTTTCTTTATGGCGAATCAGAAGAAAACTTACTTCTTTGTGTCTGATCTGCGTTTTCCAATGACTGTCACAACACGTTAAAAAGCACTGACTTTACCAAGAGAAAATCAATCATCAGTGAAATGGATTCATTTTTCTACTGAAAATGGTCATGCTCAATAAATCTTTGCCCTGCAAGTTCATAATTAACTAGAAGGAAACATTCCAAAGGTAATTTTGCAATTTCTTCTGTACACAGGCAGTTCTTCCTTCAACTGCTACATTTACTTGTTAGAACATCCAGAATCTCCTGAGAAGTGCAGAATGGTCAGTGCCTGCTGATGCACAGAGGAAATCCACGGGGATCCATGAGGGCACTGCTGAAAACCACTGGTACCAATTTCAAGAAGCAGGAGCTCACATGGAAAATTATTCAAAACTCCTCCTAAAATAATGTAGCCCCAACTGGAAGCAACAAATAGCCCTTCAAATGAGAATCACATTTGTTTTCCACTATCCTCTCACATACATATGATGACATACATGCACTACATTGATTTTAATACTGGCTTTGTTTATCCACTGCTCTCCAATGAGCTGGGGGGTAATGAATTAAGAGCAAGTATTGCCAGTTCTAAGATATTTTCCAGTTTTCTGGTTACTTTATTCATGTCATGTAACCCTCATGTGATGAAGCTATTCTAGGACAGTCTGTTTCCATGGCGATGGTGCTGCATGGGTAAGCAGTCATATTGTCAGCCCATCACTTCTTTCCTCTTCCTATGTGGAAGTGTTTGGGAAAGGAGGATTAATGATGTTAAGTATTTCCCCCTACAAGAAGGAATAGTTTCTTCCGGAAAAGGGGAATGAATCTGTGTCAAAATATATTTAAAATACAGACAAAATACATCCTCAGAAAGGCAGAGATGTTCAACTCAAGAGAACTTTTCCTAAGTTACTTTGATTTGTGAAATTACTTCCGGGAGAACTGATGGAAATGAGCAGTAGGTCTCTCAGAAGGCACTGACAGAGCTGCAGTATCAAACAAGAGCTCACTGGAACTGCAAGTATTCCTGTGTGGAATCACATTCCCATCACATGACAGCAACCCGTGCTGACCCGCAGAGCCTTTCTCCACCAAAGCCTACAAGCAGAGCTCCATAGGAGGAACTTCTCCCCACCGCAATCAGCACAGCCTCTCTCACAGCAGTGTACTGTGGACTGACTGGGTCAGAATCAACCCCATCAGCAGCCTCACGGGGATGTCAGCCAGAATCCTTCCGGCACTGGAACTGGCAGCGCACCCACAGCGCTGTGTGGGCAGGGAGAACAGTGCAGCACAGCGTCAAGTCTGGCACAGGAGTATCACAGCTTCTGCTGAAGACACAGACAGAGTAAACGTGAGGGAAAACCAGAGAGCCCTTTTGCTGGAAAAGTTGTTTTGAAAAAGCAAAGGATATCAGTGCGGGTTTGTTATTAAAATAGTGGCTTCCTCCAGCTTGTGCTGTAGGTGGTGAGCCTGTGCATCTCGAGGCTCCGTAGTAAAACCAGCTCCTCAACTCAGCAGCTGCACACATCGGTGGCTGCACAACGGTGTTCCTTCCTCTTTATGTCCAGATCAGCTCTCAGCAGAGCTGCACAGCCTGGCAGTGCGCTGACACATCGCTCTGCCACCACCAGAGCTGCAGTGGGAGCAGAGCACGACCAGCACAGAGACATTGCAGTGTGGTGCCCAGCAGTGTGACACTCCCTGTCGTGCAGGGGGGAACTCTGCACAGCAGGAATCACCTCGACTCTTTTTTTTTTAAACCTCAGATCCCCCTCCAAAATGATATCTCATTGCGACCGGTTAAGCCAACATACCTGAGTCTGAGAGCAACCACAAGCACATGACATGA